CTCAATAACTATTGGTTTTAGAACAATTTTGTATCAGACTTAAAAGTTTTGTAATTGAATTTTAATCAAGATAATTCTAGTTTCAAACCTTAAAAAGTATTAATTTAATTATAAATAAAAATATAATAAAATATCTATCTATCTATCTAATTAGCCTTCTTCGGTCCATCTTTGGACATAGGCCTCCCTAATCCTTTTCCATTCTTCTCTGTCTGTCGCTACAGTCATCCATCTAGAGCCCACGTGCTTCTTGATATCATCTGCCCATCTCATTTGGGGCCTTCCTCTGCTTTGTTTATATTCCCACGGTCTCCAACTTATAAGAATTTTGTTCCATCGGTCTTCTTTTTGTCTTATATTGTGTCCGGCAAATCTCCATTTCAATTTTGCAACTTCTTGTCTAACATCCCTCACTTTTGTTTTCTCTCTTATCCACTCGTTTCTCTTCTTATCCATTAGTCTTATGTGCAACATTTGTCTTTCCATTGCTCTTTGGGTTTTTATGATTTTGTCCATGTTTGCTTTTGTAGATGTCCACGTTTGGGAACCATAAGTAAGAACAGAGAGTACGCATTGATTATATACTTTGGTCTTAAGAGGCTGTGGATATCTTTTGTTTTTAAGAATGAAGCTTAGTTTGCCAAATGCCGCCCATGCCAGTCTAACTCGTCTCTTGATCTCTGCTGTTTGGTTCTCTTTGTTAAGTTTTATAGTTTGACTAAGATATATATAATCCTTAACTTGTTCTATTTCATCTTGTCCGATTCTCATTGTGATGTCTTCATCTGTATTTGTTATAGTTTTGGTCTTGCTGTAATTCATATTAAGGCCTATCTTTCCAGCTTCTACGTCCAGTTCTTTCATCATTTCAAATAATTCTTCTTTTTTATCGGTTATCAATACGATGTCATCAGCGTACCTTAGATGGTTCAAGCGTTGTCCACAAATTTTTATACCTTTTTTTTCCCATTCTAATCTTTTAAAAGTATCTTCAAGAGCCTGATTGAAAAGTTTCGGTGATATTGTATCACCCTGTCTCACGCCTCTACTTATTTGTAATGATTTTGTTCCTTCATATACTTTAATTGTTGTTTTGGCTTCCTTATATATATATATATATATATATATATATATATATATATATATATATATATATATATATATATATATATATATATATATATTAGTTCCGTATATCTGTGGTCAATTCGGCTGTTAATCAAAGAACTTTTCACTGCCCAATGTTCGACACTGTCGAAAGCCTTTTCGAAATCTATGAACGCCATATATAGAGGAATGTGGTATTAATTTGCTCGTTCTATAAGTATTTTCATACTTAGTAAATGGTCACTTGTGCTGAATCCCTTTCTAAAACCAGCTTGTTCTTTTGACTGGTATCCATCGAATTTTGTCGTCAATCTATTGGTTAAAATTTTTGTTAGGAGTTTATACATTACATTGAGGAGTGTTATAGGACGGTAGTTTTTTATATCTGCTTTATCCCTTTTCTTGTGTAGGATAATGGTTACTGATTCCTTCCAGTTGTTTGGGATTTTTTTTTCTTTTAATATCTTGTTAAAAAGGGAATGTAGAGTATTAATTAACACTTTTCCACCATATTTCAGCATCTCTGCAGTTATTCCATCTTTTCCAGGCGATTTGTTGTTTTTCATTTCTTTCAATGCTCAATGCATTTCAATGTTTTTATTTCTGATTTGCTTATTTCGGGCTGCAGCTCCGAGTTGACATTTTTTATTTTGACCTTAAGTTGGTTTTTAATTTCTTCTGGTGGTTCCTTTTTTGTTTTATATAATTCTGAGTAGAAATGGTGGATTATATTTATGATGTCATCTTTAACGTTTGTTTTTATTCCATTTACATCTTTTATTTTGTTTATTTCAAACTTACCTAATTTCGGCCTTAAGCATTTCATATTTTTGTTGTTTTGTATTACTTCTTCTATTTTTATTTCTTGTTCTTTTCTCTTATTTTCTTTTATCATTCTGCTTATTGTTTTATTAATTTCTACATATTCTATAGATTTCCTTTTGCCTTCTTCGTTCAGCTTCCTTCTTTTATCCATAAGCTTCTTTGTTTCTGTTGATATATAGTTGTTCTTTTTTAGATCCTTCTTTGCTATTTCTTTTCCTGATGTAATCATTGTTGCTGTAAGTATGTTGTCTATTTCGTCTATTTCTTTATCGTCACTGTCTAATCTTTGGGTAAGTTGTTCATTTAATAGGTCTTTGTATATCTCTTTATATTGCCCTAGTTTGTTTCTATCTACTAGATTCCAGTTTCTACTTATTTTTTTTTCATCTCATAGTTACCGTCATTACTAATTTTTGCTCTGACCATCCTGTGATAGCTACCTGTTGTGAATCTGTTAAGAACTGTTACATCTTTAATGATATATCGTTCCGTGGACACTATGAAGTCGATCTCATTTTTTGTGGATCCATTAGGGCCGATCCATGTCCACTTTCGTTGGGGCTTCTTTTTGTAAAAGGAGTTAATTGCGTATAGATGCTTTTCTTCTAGGTAGTTCATCAAAGTATCACCTCTATCATTTCTCTGACTATACCCGAAATCTCCTATTTTAGTTTCTTCTTTGTTTAGTTTTTTACCCAGTTTGGCATTGAAATCTCCAATTACTAGTGTAAGATGATTTTTATGTTCTTCCATAGCTTTTGATATATCTCATAAAATAGTTCGATATTTTCTTCATCATAAGCTGTCGTGGGGGCATATACCTGGATAATTTTAATTGATGTTCTTCTTATTTTAAGTATGGCATAGGCGACACGATCTGATATACCTTTGATAATTTGGACGTTCTTACTTATAGCTTTATTTATTATAAATCCTACTCCAAATTTACTATTCATTTCATTTCCTTTATAATATAGTAGATTACCAGATTTTAGCTGTATTCGGTTTTCTTCTTTTCTTCGAGTTTCTGATAGGCCTATGATATCCCATTTTATGTTTGTTAATTCTTCTTCCAGTTATTGTACTTTTTTATCTGTGGACATTGATCTAATGTTGTATGTCCCTATTGACAGGTTGACGGGTTTTTTGATTTATGTTGTGCTCGTCTTAGTGGGTTTTTGTTTTTATCAATCAAAAGCTAATTATAATAAAATATAATAATTAATAATATAAAAAAATATAATAATAGAATAATTTTCAAAATTATGCATGTGAAAGAAGAAAGTGCCTAGGAAATTTTTAAAAAAATTATTTAAATTAAAAAAAAATATTTAAGACTCCTTTATAAAAGGTATATAATTAAAACACCCTATCGGGCTACATCACAGAACGTTTTCACCTACATAGGAAGAACGTGTAGATCATTGTCTTCACGCTCTTTAGAGCACACAAGAGAAATCACTTTCACTTTTTCTCAACATCTAAAAGAACATAACCACACCCTCAATATCCCAAAAGATGTATCACTTATTCACAATATTCCCCCAAAACTTCCTCAAACTAGACTTATATGAATATCTTGAAATTATCGAAGAAAACAGAGTAGTCCAAATTGTGTTAATCGCCATGTCTCATTCAATTGAGACTTCCTTCCCCTCCATCGCCAACTATTCTCATGACCCACGTCCTCTATTTCTGCTGCTACATTAAAATTTACATTAATCATTCTTCTTTTGTCATTTATTCATCTTTCTCAGTCCACTCAAAACCTCTCTTTCAATGCATATAACTTTGTCCAGTTCTTTCTAGGATTCTAAACTTCACGTCCGACCTCTATGCCTAAAGTTCTTCATGCTTCTTTTCGACATAACTAAATTCAGATCAGAATGTTCTACTTTCTCCTCTTAAACCATTCACGATCATACAATGATCCAATCCCTCACTCGTATACATCCCTTTATATCCATACATCTGAATCTCCGCTTACAAATCATTACTCTTTAGTAACATAGTATTTAAATCAACCAATCTTTCTGAACACCTCCTACATCAATCCATATAATTACACACACCATTCAATATTTCACTGCTTAACTAGATCATCACCTGTTTATCTTTCTTTATAACACACTTTATTTTACTTATCCATATTCCCTCAGGGTATGGTTTCGAATCTCTGGAGATCTCAGCCTCTTTTAGAGTATTTTCTCTTCTCACACCAACATTAAAACATCACATATTATAATTTTAACCAAACAGAGCCACCTATAGCCCATCTACTTTGCTGTTTTTACATACTATGTCAATCCACACCAACATTCTATTAACTTTATCTATCTACCTTATGCTCAAGAACTTATAAACTTATACTTATTACATTTCTCAGGTACAAAATGTTGCTTTTTAACATATAGGGCTTTCCATGCTTAACTTATTAATTAAGTTAAGTACTACATGAACAGTAGGTACATTACAAAATTTATTCTATTTACACTCCATATCAATAGCACTTTCAAATACATCATTTAATATTTCACTCTTCAATAATAAAATATAAAGAACCTAACTTCCTACATATATCTGCTTTTCATTTTCCAGGCACCAAATGTTGCAAAAACGTAAAGGGCATTTTGTAAAAATCTTTAGTTTACCATCACTAAATTTAGATATTCGTATAGTTGGTTGCCTATCAGTACCCACAGAATTTTACCAAACTTCAGTCCATCTACACTAATAATTTTTTTTTTAATTTCTCGACGTAAATTTACGATAAATTTATAATTCAAACTCCAACAAATTGATGTTTGCTACTGTTATTTGTATTATAATTTTAACTTATTCAATTTTAAACATTGTTGGCTACTGTCATATTTAGACAAATACCTCAAGTTACATTGATTGCTTTGTTCCTACTTCCGTCCTAACGTGTCATTATTGTCTAGTCATTTCAACGCATTCTCTTTACTTAAATAATTCTAGATAATTTTGTAGTAGTAATAAGAAATAATATACGATAATTCGACCAGGAGTGTATGTTAGTTAATACTTTCAATTTCTTATTGTTTTAGATGGAAAGACCCCAACTGCCCCTTCAGACACGACCCCAAAACCAAATTGCGCGTTTTGCCAACTCTGGTAAGGTGGCAGGGACCTCAAAGATTGGAGGGCGAGCAGTGCGACAAAGCCGATTTGGTCAACATGCTCCTCAACGAAGATGATGATTAAGCCAGTTTGATTTGATCGTTTAGCTTTTTATGTTTTGTATAAATAAATTCCCCACTCATAATAAATAATTGTATGTAACTAATGGTATCTTTTATTTTCCTGTTTATACCTGTGTTAATGCTAGAAAAATATTAATTTCTTCCTGGGATGACACAAAAGTTGAAAAAATTGATGTAATTGGTAATTTAGCATTAGCATTGCTAAAACATACAATACAATAGTTAAAGTAATTGAAAACTAATTTAATACACCAACTTTGAAGAGTTAAAGCCAACTTGAAGAGGAAACAAGAAAATCATAACCAAACAATCTTTTTGTGCAATCCTAAATCTGTTTTCTATAAATGCGCACAGCTGCGTCATTTCAAATGATGCAGGCTAAGAGAATACAATAATTATTTATCCGACATAGGTCAAAGGCTACAATTAAGTAGAATATCTATTATATACATCTATCCACTTTTAATCCCAAATATCGAAGAAGTGAAGTTAAGACCAGTAATAATATTATAATCACAATACAGATAGGCATAATTTTAGGTGGGATGCAAATAGACAGTTTTTTTATTGCATTAAAATTAATAGCCATAATTTTGTAAATACAAATGTTCTGGACTTCTGTATTGACTCAGGATGTACAGACCATATGGTAAATACAAAAGAATATTTTTGATACTCAATGGTGTTAGGCAGTTGTTAAAGGTAATCAATTCTTATTGGCAACAGGAGTTGGTAACATAGTTTTCATTATAGGAATTAGTAAAATTAATGATATAATGTAATATTAAAAATGTGTTATATACCTCAATTAAAGAGAAATTGCTTTCCGTTTAAAAGGCTTCAAATGTTTAATTTGAAAAAAAAAACAGATTAAATTGTTTGTTAGAAATAATTGTCTCGTAGGAATTGGTAAAATAAATTATTTGTATGAAATGTCATTTACTCTATCGAATTCAAATTTAGAATGCTTGAATATAGAAAATGTATCTAATAAAGAAGTTGTTAAATAGCGCAAGCACTATGGCCGTATTGGATTCTCAGGTTTAGAGAAATTGATAAAAACTGATATGGTAAGGGAATAGATAAAAATATTAAAATTGAAAAGGTGAATTTCTGTATACCTGTGTAAGTGGGCAAATGTCGAGTACCATTTGGCGCCAGGACTAAAAGTAGAAACCAAAAAAAAACTATTTAAAATTCCTGACCTTGAAGATAACCAGTATAATAGGAAAATATCGGCTCTTAAGTTAAGTGAATTTTAAGTTAAATATACCCGTTGAAAAATTACAAGAGTGAGTTGGTGAAGGTCAGGAAATGAGCTGTATTTCACCACCAACACTTAAAAAATCGTACTCATCAGTAACCAGTACTCTTAATTTTCCACCCAGAAAGCAAGCTATTGTATTTAGTTCATTAGAAATTATATTGTTCTCTTCTCGTATAGCTAACAACAGGATTTGTATTTATCTATATAAGGCAGAATTAGTTGACAAATTTATAAATGTTCATTAAGGAAAAATCATAGTAAACAATTAAATAATACAAGGAAGAAGATTAATTACTCCTGGTGAACGACTAATATTATCCTATGTATTTCCAACAATTCCACATAGTATTATAGAATCAGAACTACAGAAACTAGGCTTTAAACTTATGTCTCCCTTATCATTCTTTAGAATTGGCACATCTCGTTCCGAATTTCAACACGTACTAAGTTTTCGTAGACAGGTATATATTTCACCTTTAGTGGACCTAGTACTTCCCGAATCCTTGTTAATTTGTCATGACAATATAAACTATAGAATTTTTATGTCTGTAGACCAACACTCTTGTTATATTTGTAAAAAGATTGACCATATCGCCTCAAACTGTCCTAAAAAAAACAATAACTCCAGTTCAATAATAAATAACACAGTGACTACAGCAGACATTATAACCTTTGTAGCATAACACTCAGTACAAATCCATTCAGAACCAAATTATTTGGTGCAAGTTACTCAATCTAAACAATACAAAAATAAAGATGTAGATGTAAATAAACTAAGGCCAAAAAACGATATCCCGCTTATAAATGAAGGTATAAACGTTAATGAAATAGGATTAGAAATTAATGAATCATTGATCACTTCACCAATTAGCAAAGAACCTACACTGCAAACACAGAGCAAAAGATCTTTCTCCGAAACAGTTACACCACCTGAAACTCCTGAATGCTTTATACTGCCTGTTCAGGATCATCAATCAGCCAATCGCGTCCACTGCTGAACATAGGCCTCCCTCAGTTCTTTCCAGTGTTCTCTACACTGGGCTGCTTGTAGCCAGTTTCCCGCTACACATTTTATATCATCGGTCCATCTAGTCGGTGGTCGTCCTCGGCTTCTTTTATAGTTTCTGGGCCTCCATTCCATAATACGTCGTGTCCACCGTCCATCTTTTGTTCTGGCTAAGTGCCCTGCCCAGTTAAACTTAAGCGTCGTGGTTCTTTCGATGACGTCTTGATCTCCTGATCTTTGTCTGATTTGTTGGTTTGTTATGTGGTCTCGAAGGCTCACTTCAACATTGCACGTTCCATGGCTCGTTGTGTAACTCTGAGTTTATTCGCAGATTTTTGTGTGAGTGGTTTGGTAATTTGCCAAATGCTGCCCATGTTAGGCCTATTCGCCTCTGTGTTTCATGGGTTTGATTGTCTCTGCTTATTTTGATTTCGTGTCCCAGATAAGTGTCTGTTTGTTGTATGGTATTATTGTCAATAGTTATATTTCCACTCAATACGAGATTTGTTATAAGTTAAGTTTTCTCAAAGTTTATCTTTAATCCTGCTCTTTCAGACAGACTTTTAAGCGAATGCATCATAGAAACTGTATCATGTAAATTATCTGCGATTAATACAACATCATCTGCAAATCTTAGGTGATTTAATCTTTCTCCATCTATATTGATGCCCAAATCTTGCCATTGAGTGATTTTAAATATTGACTCTAGAGCTGCTGTGAACAATTTTGGTGAAATATTGTCTCCTTGTTTAACTCCTCGACCTAAGCTGAATTTTTCTGTATCTTCGTGTAGTCGTATACTTGATGTAGCGTTCTCGTAGATATTTTGATTAGTGTCGTGTACCTGTAATCTATTCGGCTTTGATTTACCTGTTAAGGATACACGTTCAAAAAAGAAGAGAATTATCCAACAATAGATCTTATTGATATACAGAAATTGATGCAGCCAACAAAGGTATTTTTTGAAGACGACACAAATGAAAGTGTTCTTAATTACCAAAAAACGATACATTTTTTTGAAAACGCGTATGGTTCACCCGACCCATTGAGTGTTGCTCAAACTTTTACAAACGATATTGAGGGGTTACTAAAATTATTAGAAAACATCTACCCTCTGTTCAATGAAAAAATAATGAAAACACGTTGCACAAAGATTAAGCGCAAAATATCCAAATTGCTGGATACAATTTCCTCCTCTGAATTAGAGAGCGATCAAGTACAAGAATAAAAATTAACATATAGAACAAAAATGTCAATTCTTCAGTAGAACATAAACGGTTATTATACACAACTAGAAATGTTTAAATTATTAATTACTAAACACTTACCTTCAATAATATGTCTCCAAGAAACGAATTTTACTGACCAAAAATTAGCAAAATTAAAGGCATTTACAGGTTATCATAAAAACAGACGTGATTTTAAAAAAGCCAGAGAAGGTGTTTCTATTTATGTTAATAACTCATTGGAATCTAGACAAATACATTTAAAGACCAACCTTGAAGCAGTAGCAGTAACCGTAAAAACTCAAAAAATTATTAACATCTGTAACTTTTATTTTCCACCGAATACTGATATAAGTATAAAAGAGATAACTCATATTATAGAACAAATTCCATCGCCTAAGATTATAGTAGGAGATCTAAATGGACACAATCCACTTTGGGAATCTAATAGATATAACAACATAGGACACATAATAGAAACGGTCATTAATAACACCAATATTACCCTACTTAACGATGTATTTCTAACAAGATTTAATTCTTTTACTGAAAACACTAGTTGTATTGACTTATCTCTTGTAGACCCTTCTTTAGTACAAAACATAACTTGGGAAGCTAGTACACAATTGTATGGAAGCGATCATTTTCCCATAGTGATACATTTCGAAAACAAACAAAAAATTCAACCATACAAGGATGGAATACAGAAATAGAGGATTGGTCACCGTTTACACAATTTGTGGAGAATCAATTGAATTTTTTTTTCAGATCCATCCCCACATGACAATATAACCTACTTAGTAAATAAATTTTCCTCGGTCATAGTTTCCTCAGCAGAGCATATAATCGGAAAAAGAAAATAGTAAGAAATCGTATTGGAGTACCATGGTGGAACAATCACGGTCAGGATGCTATAAAAAAGACTCACAGAGCATTCAATAAATACAAAAAACAAAAAACACAAAAAAATCTTCTAGAATATAAGAGGTTAAGGGCTATTAGGAGAAAAGTGGTAAAAGAAGCAAAAAAAAATCGTGGAAAAAATTTTTATCAACAATAAACAGTTCTACCCCAGCAGCAATAGTGTGGAAACAAATTAACAAAATTTCGGGACGCCGACAAACTTTATCAATAAGATTTTTACAATATAATAACAAAATTCATACATCTAGATCTGGAATAGCCAATGTATTAACTTCATCCTATGAGTCATATTCAAGTAACGAAAACTTCTCTCAAGAGTTTTTACAATTTAAAACCAAAGAAGAATTACGAGAATTTAATTATGATAAAAGCGATAACCTACCAATAAACGCATCAATACTAGAGGAAGAGTTAACTGAATCTATAAATTCTATTAAAACCTATTTACTAAAGATATATAACAAAATATGGCTTGAAGGAGTGTTTCCACATACTTGGAATAATGTTTACACAATACCTATCCTTAAACCTGGTAAACCACGTTCAGACCCAAACTCCTACCGTCCAGTATCGTTAGGATGTGCAATGAGCTGCTCATGAGGAAGTGCTCGAAAAATTTATTAACCAACGTCTTATTTGGATACTCGAGCAAAGATCTGTTTTATCTAACAAACAAAGTGGATTTCGTAAAGAAAGATCAACTCTAGACAACTTAGTTGACCTCGAGTCTGACATACATGAAGCGCTAGCAAATAATCAAATCTGCATAGCAGTATTTTTTGATATAACCAGAGCATTTGATACAGTTTGGCGCCATGGAATAATTAAAACTTTAGGTACAGAAATTAGGTATACAAGGAAATATGCTTCCTCACTAACTTTTTAAAAGACCAAAGCTTCCAAGTAAAAGTAGATGTTTTCATTTCTAAAACAAGAATGCAGGAAAATTGTATTTTGGAAAACGATTCTCCACCAGTAAAGAGTGGGCTATATGCAGATGATCTCATAATTTATTGTAAAGGGACAAACATAGAACTAATTAAACAAACCTTACAATATACTCTATTTCTGCATTAGAAAAATGGTCAATGAAATCTGGAATGAAATTTTGTTCCAACAAAAGTAAATGTATCCATTTCACCAGAAAACCAATGTTAGTAGTCCAAAACTTACAGTCTTTAATACAAAAATAGAATATGTTGATTATATCAAATTCCTTGGAATTCATTTTGACAAACATTTAAATTTTAAGCAACATATTTATTATTTTAAAACATCTTGTCAACAATATTTGAACACAATGAAAGTCCTATCTACGAAGAATTGGGGATGTGGTCAAGATATGTTATTGACAGTATATAAAAGCCTTATTAAATACAAAATGGATTACGGTTCAATAGTGTATGGGTCTACCAGTCAATGCTGCTGTAAGAATAGCCTTAGGAGCTTTTTGTACCACACCTACAGATAGCTTACTATGTTTAGTAGGAGAAATGTCTCTGGAATTAAGAAGACAATATCTTAGCTTAGCATATGCTGCAAACGTTTAAGCAAATAGTGAAAATCCCGTCAGAAACAATGTCTTTGCTTCTCATTTCCACACAACATATCTTAACAAAAAAAGATCTAAACCCTTTTTATGAAAGACTTAATAGATACATGGTCAGCAATAATATTGTCTTCCCTAAAATATACCAACCCACCCTTTTAACTGCTCCTCCTTTTATGGTCAGAAAACCTTTCCTAGACTTGAGTTTAACAAAGACTAGTAATCAACTTAATGCTTTCTGTATGGTTAAACAATTTTACAGTAAGATTGATGAGTACAAGAAATACCAACGTATTTATACTGATGCCTCCAAATCAGAAAAATGAGTGGGATGTGCCCTCATACACAACGACTACACTGCTTTATACAAAATCTCAAATTTTAGCACAGTTTATACAGGAGAACTATTTGCAATTTACAAAACATTGGAATATACACTGAACACCAACTTAGACAGGTGCCTAATAATAACAAATTCGCTAAGTTCCATCAGTAGCTTAGGCACCATTTACCTAACTCATCCATTGTTTCGATTGATAAAGAACCATTTGTACCAACTTCAGCAAAAGAATACGATTGTAAAATTTATGTGGATTACATCACATGTAGGTATACATGGTAATAAAAGAGTAGATGCTGCCGCCAAATCTTCAGTTAACAACGAAGACTTGATAGAACCTACCTATAAGAAAGACTTTCATCACTGGATTAACTCGACAATGAAAGAACGGTGGCTTCAAGAATGGAATCAGTCTCAACAAAAACTATGAGACATAAAAACAACGGTTACAAGATGGAAGAATATGTGTAGCAACAGGAAAGACCAAATTATAATAAACAGGCTGAGATTAGGACGTACACACTTAACACACGAATACCATATTACTGAAAGTGTTCATCCAATGTGCGGTAAGTTTTTTAAGGGTAAGTTGTAGAAAAAAAATGGGATTTTTTAAATAATCCAGAGAAATGAAACATCAGTATCCATCTTATAGATCACTTCAAGTTTGTACAGGGTTCCAGAATTCTTAAATGAGTTCGAAGAGTGAATGAAAGCTGTACAATAAGCCAATTATCTGCGGTACCGCCGATTTAAAATGGACGTCTTGAGTTTAAAAAGGGCAAAAGTTGTTATGATCCTATACTTCCTGTAGGTGTAGTAATACTTCTGACAGTATTCTGAATGGCAAGTAAACTTCGTCACTAGTTGAATACGGCACTGCTTATTAATAATGGTAAAAATTTACTTCGCAACTAAAGGGAACGGTTTATCATCACTCATATTACTATCGGTGAGTTGTAAGGTAGGTAGTTAAGATAAATAAATGTAATTAAAATAATTAGACCTTTATTTTACATCAGATAAACAATATAATACATAACCAAAATAAGTACATTTGGAAATCTAATTATTTTGCTACCTTGGAAGAAGACTGTTCTGACGAATCTTATAAGATTCGAAGCTATCCTCTAACAAACTGAAAAAATACAGTTGTTAACAGATTAGCACATTAGAGAGACTGTATTTAAATTTTTATTAAAACAATTATAAACAGTAGAGGAAGTGTGCCAAATATGGAATATGTCCCCATTATTCAATATCCTAAGGTTGAACAAACTAAAAGTGGCAACACTGGAACGACATCACCAGCGTGTAGCCAGTGCTTGTCGTGCCTATGCCTATAGTCCTGTAGACAGTCATCAGTCAGCGTTAAACCGTTGAAAGCAACAGGTCCCGAAAATTATTTAACGTATGTATTCTACATTTTGATACACATAGTTAAAATAAGCATAGAAATATCCGATTATGCCTTGCTTGTTTAGAAAGCTTACCTAAGTTTAATTTTTCGATATTGCAATTTAACATTCACCTGTTGCAACGGTCAACGAAAAAAAAAAAGATGGCCATGTACCTTATATGGAATACTATACTGTCCCTATGATGGAGTATTCCATATTAGGTACACTTAATTTTGGAAGAACATTTTACTTTCTGTTAATAAATACTGTCTAAATTGATTATTAATATTTTTTTGTAGAGTAATTTCATGGGTCGTAAAAAATAGAGAAAAGAAGATATGGTTCGTGCCATCCAAGCTGTGCGAAGTCAGGAGATGGGATACAAAAAAGTCGCAGATATATTCAATGTTCCACGCACTACATTATTTCGTGTATCAGCCGACGAATGCTACACCAGTCTAGGTTGTTGAAACAAAATTAGGAAAATCTGCAGTCCTACCACAAAACTTAGAAAATCAGTTTGTAGACTATCTACTTTTAATGGAAAAAAGTTTTACGACTTAACAAGAAATTATGTTAAAAGTATGGCTTATCAGCTGGCTACTGTTAATAAAATAAACAATCCATTTTTAAAAGAAAAGAAAAGTACCAGAACAAAATGGTTGAATTTATTCCTAAAACTACACAAGGATAGAATTTCTACCAGAAAGCCAACTGGAACGTCCATCCATAGAGCCAAAGCCTTTAATAAGGAAAACGTATCACATTTCTTTGATATTTTGGAGGCAACATTTGAAAATCATATTTATTCAGCTGATAGAGTTTCAACGTGGATGGACTGGATTAAGTATTGTTTAGTCTTAAGTCTAATACGTTGTTGCGCTTACAGGTTCCAAGCAGGTGGGAGCATTAACTTCTGCAGAGAGATTAGTCACAGCAGTCTTGTATATGAGTGCCGGAGGAACTTTTGTTCCACCATATCTGATTTTTCCCAGAAAAAACCACAATGTTTTATTGGAAAAGGGTGCTCCTCCTGGTTCAAAAATTGTGTGTCATCCAAGTGGACGGATTCAAACCCATATTTTTACACAGTGGTTCCTACATTTTATTGAAAAAGTGGACATAAAACGATCTAGTGTTGCTAGTGTTAGACGGACAGCATACACATTGTCGAAATTTAGAAATGATAAATTTGACAATGGAGAATTTTGTTGACATAGTGTGCTTACCCCCTCATTCTACCAACCACATGCAGCCCTTGGATAAAATGATAATGGGACCCTTACAAACGCATTATACTAAGATGTTAAGATTATTTTTAAGGTCAAATCAAAGACCATTTTAGATTATGATGACCATTTTAGATATGACCAGATTATGACATTGCTGAACTATTTGGAAAGGCGTATCTTAAGATGCAAACTGGAACAATTGCCGTTAATGGCTTCATAAAGACCGGAATATTTCCTATAAATCGCCATGTCTTTAACGAAAGGATTTACTTGCTGCAGAACGAGACAATACTGAAAAAGAACAATATGTAGTAGTTGAAAATATTGCCGACAATAGTGTAGATGAAAATTAATTTGTTGGACCCGAAAATATTATGCCGGTGCCAACCTTTCAGAAACAGACAGGACCTCGAAAGGGTAGGGCACCTGGAAAAGCAGCGATTATTACCGCGTCTCCATACAAAGACGCTTTAGAAACTTCAATAAATTCTTCTTAAAAACAAGCCAAAACAGTAAAGTGGAAAGTACTAGTAAAATCCTATATAATTAAAATCCTGTAGTTACCAGCATCTACGTAAGACGAAAAAGAAGACAATATTTCAAGATTCGTCTTCAGAATCCGAATCAGTACGTTTTAAAGAAGAAGATGCTACTTGTTTCTATTGCGATGGAAAATTTTTGGAAGACAAAAAAGGAGAGAAGTGGATACAATGCGTTGTCTGCAAAGTATGGTGTCATATAGATTGTTCCGGATGTGAAACTGATATTTGTTAGATTTGCAAAGACAATTAACATGAATTTCATAAAATAGATACCGTTTTATTTTAAATCTTATTTTTTTATTTAAATACATATTATTGTGTTCCATATTAGGAACACAGCATATTCCATATTAAGTACATATTCCATATTAGGTGCAAAATTTACATTTTTCATATGTCACTTTTTGACTATCCCGGTATGCAGATTTTCGTATTTTTAATAATAACATCTAATATATAAAACATTAATGTGTATTTATAAATAAAGAATCACATATTATTTTTATTAAACACACACATATTAAACCAAATCCTAAACGGTATTCCATATATGGCGCATTTCCTCTAATAATTGAGGTTATCTTTGTCAGTCTGTGGAAGTGTCACAAACTGCAATAAAACTATAACGCTAAATTGCATTGTTTTTATTGCAAAAACTACTCAAATTACTTTTTTTGATGGCTTAATTACCGCACAGATAAATTTCGATTAGATGTATTCATATTTTATGTTTTTTTGCCTTCTTCTAAGATAGAATATCGTCAAACATAATTTTTGCTTATGCATAACCTTCCCCCTATATGTAATATGCACCCTATGTTGTGGTAAGTTATTTTACGCTGATGTAGGTTCAACTACCGCGTTATTGTTCATCTGTTCTTTCTTTGGAGTCTCTAAGTTTTCATCTAAGTTCAATTGGAGTATATTTATTTCGTTATCACGTGGTATTATGTTTAATTTTTCTAATGGTGGTGTGACGTATATTCGATAATGTATGGTTTTGCTTCTGAACATGCTGTATTTGTTGTCGAAGGTCACAATATCTGAAACATATTGTAAATACAAATTGTAGAATAAAAAAACATAAATAACGTATTTAAAAATAATGATAAATACATTCTAGATAGTGAAGAACAATGAGAAGAATTTGAGACAAGCAACAACGCAGCAACAAATATCGTAAGAAAAAAAGAACAGTCATACTAGAAAAACACCAAGCACACAAGAATTACATGGAAAGGAAAACTAGGGAAAGAAGGACACATCTAAGTGGGCATTGATTGAACTTTTACCCTTTTCCAATTGTCTCAGTCTTCCATTACGTGTACTTTACATACTCCATTATCTATACAGACTGGTCTGAATGAGTTACTTTAATGTTAAGAACTTGACCGTCGCATTAAATACTTGATTTCTATCTACACTATCATATGGCTGCCGGAAGTATATAAAGAGTTGTCAAATAAAAGTTCTTTATATTGTTTTTGTCTTGTCTCCTTCTGCAGTTCATCCATCTGTTCCTCTGCGGATTTTTACGTCTAGGATATTGTTTCTCTTACCAAAATGGACAATGATATTATCAATTTGATTCCGAGAGAACCTTTACAACCCATTTTTGTTTCTGAATGTCTTTATGTGGGGACACGGTTGACTTTATTAACATGGTACTTGTTACTATTTCTGTAAGACTTGACCATTGTCATTGGATATAATATGGATATTAGGTTCAATCATTTTAGTTTCTATATTGGCAATAAAGTCCCCACATAGTATTCAAAAATCCAGCTTTGACCTTTGGAAGTTCCAGTATTCCTTCCTAGTTGTTTTGTATTGCTTTAATCATTTCTAAATTTATCCATCCGGTTCTGAGACAAAGTCGTCGTTTTCGTCTGACGTACTTAGCCTTCAACTTAACCCACAAACCCGAGGACCGGGGGAGGAAAATATGCCAAAGACTAAAAAAATGTTTAAAATGATTTAAAAATATTTAGAAATGTTCCGTAGAGCGAAGGATACGATGAAAATATATTCACAACAGAAAAGATCAGTGAAGAAGATTTAATACTAAAACACCTTAGAGACGAATGACATGTAATTGCTGATATTCACGACAGAAATTAGAGAACGACAAAGCGTAATTTGAGCTGTACTGCCATTGGAAAATGCCGAATGCCGATAAAGATGATAATTTTCAATATAGGAGTAAGATAATTATTTCATCGAACTAAAAAGCGTTGCATGGTTGATGTAGAAGATCATTTGATTATGTAATATTGAAAGTCTTCGAAATAGCCATTTAGATTAGGAATCAATAATCTAAGATTTCAAAGTGTTTTTCCAGAGGACAAATCTAGAGAATGAGGCTAATAACAGTTTAATTCAAAAACAGATTCATTAATTTTAGCTATTACAATCAAAGAGACAGTGGCGCACCCAGGGAGGTTTTGGGGGTGAAACCCCCCCCCCCCAGGATCATTTTAAGGACTTAAAATAGTGGAGGTAACATATAAAAGTTTCGGTGCCCAATCAAACCCCCCCCTATCCAGAAGAAAATTCTACTACTGCAAAGAGAAAATCACTTTTCTTTTTATTCTTTTCCAAATCCCACCATTTCGTCGTTACAAATTGGCACAAAACTTACATATTGTCATTTACAGCGCTTTAGATTCAACAAGAGTCTAACACACGAGCTTCTACTCACTCCATTTTGAAGCTTATTGAAGTTGCTTTTTATAATCAGTTCGTATTCGCTTCAAATCCGGCCTATTTTATCCTGAAATACTTACATGTTGCTGGAGATTGGCACGCTATTACACCGCTTTCGTCTATTTGGTGCGACGCGACTCTTCTGTGGCGCACCACAGGACTCTCAACCCCATTTTCGTCCTTTAGAGTGATCCCGAATTTTATATCGTGTTCGTCGGTTTTGAAATCCCATCTAAAAAAGCGAAATAAATGATTGGAAAATAGTAAAAAATTTGCATCAAGCTTTTCTATTTCACTATGAAGGTGTTCATTTTAAATTTTATGAAGATATTTGAAAAATAAATGTTAATTGATACATGAATTGATGTCAGGTAAGTTTATTATTTTTTCTTTATTAACTATTATTAGAAAATATCAGGAGCTTGGAAGCGTAAATACGAACTGCAAAAACACGTTTTTGGAAAGTTTTAAAACATGGTTATTTTATTAACAAAACTTAACAGATAATAAGTTCTGAAGCTATTTATTTGTGACATGTTTTATAAAGATATAGTTTTATGGGATTTAGCCACCATTGTCTGTAATTATAATTACATTTTTTTAAGAAAGAAAAAGTTTTTTTTTAATGAAATTATCATTACAACCAATTTTGGCTTAATCCCATAAAACTCTACCGTTATTAAAAAAAGGATTTTGCGAGATTTTTATAAAATTAAAAGAAAAGCGGTTTGATATTTTTTATTCTAAAAAAATAAACATAGTTTTATTAACAAACCATGTGGAAGCTAACAGCAATAAAGTAATTTGCAAAATTCACAAATAATGCTTCAATTAAACTCAATTTGACACTAATTCCTCCACTAATAGCTTGTTGTAAAGCACGCATGTGAGGCATGGGTTCTGAGGACTTCAGAACATCTGTAAGTCCGTTTTCTTTTCTTCTTTAAGCTTGAGAGCACTCAGGAATTTGAGAGGAAGTTCTATACTATCTAAGCTAAAATTTATTACATCGTGAAGTTTCTTTCGTCGCTTTTGGAATATGACATTTGTAGGAATATCCGTGTTATATGCGATTTGAATTTAAAGACCATCTTAAAATCTTTTGAGTTAGCTCCCAACATTTGAAATTTAGTTGCTGCTTTTTGAAGAATACTGAAATCCTTAACCATTTCCCTTGTGACATTAAAAACTTGGAATTTGTTCTTTTTTTTTAGTGTGTGTAATGAGATGGATATAGTATTCATTAGAAACTACCTCACAGTCCTTGATCTTTAATTTAATTGAACTAAAATCTCGATCATATCCCATCATCGAATGCCCTGGCATTAAAAAAACGTGCTTAATAAGATCAAAGCGATTTGCATGAATGTTGCGAAGGCTGGACAAAACAACGTTTATGTTCTTATTTTGCCCGAAAAGTTGTCACTACAAATTATTACTTTTCTCACATGCTTATTAACAAAATTCTCCAAGTAGTGACTAAGAAAACTGGCTATTTCGCACGATCCGCGTTTAGCGATAGTTTCATCCCATACATACATTATGACTGAGTTTAGGCGTGGGTAATACTTGTTGTAAATCAATAAATTCTTCTTCTTCTTTGAGTATCGTGCCCAAGTTTTAGGGGTGGGTAGCTTCCATGACGATTTGCCGATATCGATCTCGATCTTGCGCAGCATGTAATAATTCATCTGCTGATAAGCCAGCCTATTTACGAAGGTTTAGGAGCCATGAATATTTCTTTCTACCAATTGCTCTTCTTCCGTCGATCTTTCTGTTGAGTAATACAACAAATATAAATCAATACATACAACTTCAGTATTTTCATCCTGGTTGCTTTCGTAGCCTTTTATCATATTCTGAGCAGCATTCTGATTTGCTAAATGAACCTTCAGTTCAATATCAAATTCAGTTATTCTGGGAAAATTTGGGTTGCTAGTCTTTAACACATCGAGTTCAACTATAATCTTAGAGCAGGTATTACAATCATCAACAGAAAGCAGCTGAACACCTATATTGAATTCATTGACAAAGATATTTCGATAGTAGGACTCTATCGCAGGCTGTTCTTCAGGATGTATGTTTCTTAGCCATTCCATATAAGCTTCATATACTCCAGTTATTTACGAACCCGGTGGCATATATTTTTGAAAAGGACTTTTAGCTCTGCTCTAGTGACTGGAAACGGTAACAAGTGAATCAATGTGATCTCTGAGCAACTGCTTTCTACATCCAACCATTTTATTCCCTGGACTTAGCTTTCCTCTGTTATCGCCCAGTACAGTTCCTGTGGTAGTCTGCTTATCTAAAACAAAGCGAACTCTTTTTTCGATTATGCCATGGATGCTAATAATCCATTTCTTTCTCCATTTATTGAAACACTATATTCTATGGCCCGAAGCTTTCTACTAGCTTTGTCAGTAATTAAAGACTTTTTAAAATCATTCCAACTTACCACTTTGAAAGGTATTGGTTTTGATGATCGTAGTTGCCGATTTGTCAAAAGGTTTTAAAAATCATATTGATATTGTTCATGCCCAACTTTTCAAAACACATTTTATGAGACTTACATGGCAGTCCGATTGTGCGCTCGAATACAGTTTTCTTTGTATTTCTTGAAACGTACGCTTCACCAAATTTTTGTTTGGTTTTACACACGTTAACAAGCCATTGTTTCGTTTTTTTTTCTATTTGCGTTTTGTCGTTTTCTTGGGGTTCATTTTGAAAATAAATCAGAAAAAACAAAACAACTTTAAGGCTAATGTAACGTCGGTTTTTTCTTGAAATACGAGTAACTAAAACTACAACAAGCACACTATAGTACCCAAAAACTAAAGAACAAGGGATATATCTGAGACCATCTCTCACCAAATACAGACACACCGGCGCGTTGATACGATTACCTTAGACTATAAAAACTGATAGACACGCTGTAATGCTATTCTCTCGTCTCGAAGAGTGAAGCCAACATAAAACGATTCACACAGCTGTGGGTGACGTCAGTTTGCGGCAGAAACGGTAGATATTAGAAGTGTTATACGCGTTGTAAACTTTTTAAAGTGTTCCAATTTAAAATTTTTCCAATAAATTAATATTTTAATTATGGTGTTATCTTACAGTGCATTTAATTGTACGCAGCGACAAAAAAGGGATAGATATATCATTTCATGGGTAAGAAAATTCACAAATTAAACTTATACCAGAAATTTAGCCCCTATTATTTTACTTTTTCTCCCAAAGTGTTTGAAATAAATTTTCATTTTATAATTTAATAGAAAACTAAAGGATTAAGTAAATAAATTGTTTTAGATTTCCTAAAGATTCATCATTGCAAAAAAATGGATTATAGCGATGCGCCGTTAAAAAAAATTTAAACCAACAAAGAGTTCTAAAATTTGCTTCAAACATTTCACAGCGGATTCGTATATTACTAGTGGTTGGAGTTCAAAAACACAACTAAAAAAAGATGTTGTATCCATCCTTTTCGATTTTCCAAACCGTTTAATTAAGCAAGTCACAACTAGAAAATTTCCAAAAAAAAAGCGAAACTGTCTCAGTCAAACCAACAGGATCTAAAAGGGAAAATGTAAATATAACGAGAGAATCTACCACCATAAATACTCAAGTAGAAATTTCAGACGAAACTACCTTAGAACCTCCCTTGAAAAAACGAAGACATTATCTTGGTGACTTTGAACAAGGATCATCTAACAGAGACCAGGGATATAAAGTAGTAGTAAACAAATGAATTCAAAAGAAAAACAAACAAATCAAAATGTAACAACGAAATAGAAGGCTTATTAAAAAAGTAAATACCTTAAAATCTTTATTAAAACATCTTAAAGAAAAACAGATGACCGATGAAGATTCCTCTCTGAAACTTTCCGTAAGGAAAATTATTAATACTTCTTATTAGTGATCTATTTAGGTAGATCTAAGTAGTAGCTTGTGAGCCTGGATTTCAAAAAGAAGCAGTGAATGTATTAAAACAAAAGTAGGTAAACTTAGAAATAAAGGAAAATCATGTATCTGTGCTGTGATGGTCGATGAAATGTCTATACACCAGAAAATAGAATGGGATGGTGAAAACTTTTTAGTGTAAGTGTAGCTTAATATTTATTAGCAATTATAAAAAGAATCATAACATTATATTTTCTATTTAAATAATTAAAAACATTAATTTTAGGTATGTCGACATAGGAAGTAAACCTCAAAGCGATTCTTCCGAAATTAAAGCGAAAGAAGCAATTGTATTCTTAATTAATAGTTTAAATGATTCATAGAAGCTGTCGATAAGCTACTTCTTAATCTCTGAGTTATCAGGTGTTCAAAAAAGTAATCTAATAAAAATGTGCTTATATAATATGAACACTTATGAACGCTTATATATGTGAACCCCTATATCTAAGCCAAAGACAGACGGGTTTTATTGGTATGATCATTAGTTTAAAGTGACTAATGGGAATTTGGAAAAATTACGTGGAGAATATGGATGGAGGTCTGAAGTATCATTCGTCCCATAAACTCAGAGATCACTTAGAAGTTTTCTTTAGACCTATTAGGAGTCTTGGAGGTTACAACAACAACCCAACGGCAAAACAATTTAAAGCTGCATATAAAAGACTCTTCATGCACACAAGTGTTTTAGAATCTACCCAGGCTAATTGTATAGAACAGGCACCTTCCATAATATTAGCAATGAGCACAACAAATACTGTGAAAATGAAAACTGTTGATCGTCAACTCATTGACAACTTTATAACTGATGAAAATAATAGGGAAACAATAACTAGTAACCAGGTTCAGAATTATACTGTAAATAATTTAAGTTTTTCAAAAACATTGTCATCTTATGTTTGTGATGTTGTTGACTATATCGCTGGGTTTGTCGTTAAGAAAGTTAAGAAAACATTAGATTGTGACATATGTTTGTGTGCAATTAAATGTGATAATTTACAATCTCCATTCATAAGACACAAAAATTATATCATATCAAAAAAATTTTTAACTCAACCTTCTAAAGACGTAATTCATATTTGCAAAATTGCTGAAAGCGAAATTAAATTTATGTACAATTAAAAAAAAATTAAACGATTCCAAAAGAATGACAAAATTGATCCGAAAGCGCAACGAAAACGCAACGAAAGCTTGTGGGTTCGCCCTTGCTCTTCTAGAAGATTATGTAGTTCAGTTTCTGACTTGAATGGATTGGTATATTATTTTTTTACAGAAATTTAGGAATGTAAATGGCAAAACATGGTTTCATAATATACACAAGTGTTTGTAAAAGTGTTCAAGACTGTTTTAAATATTTTATTTTTATTATTTAAAAGATGACAGAGGAGGAGAATCGAAGTCGAAAGGTTATGGATATATTGATAAACAAAGGAAAGAAAACCAAAGGGAAGATATCTGCTCTTACGGATTTCTTACAGAAAACTACCGGCTCCTTTCCTGTTCAACCTATTCGTAAATCAAATCTCTATTGGGCTGATGAGGTAGAAGATTTTGATGATACAAGAAGGGTTGTCAATGTAGTGTTGCCCACTGCTCCAAAGCTTCTAAAGATTATGATGATATTAGCTATACGGTTCCTATGGAACCAGCATTTTAAGTTTATCTTTCGAACTTGCCGTACGACCTGGATGAAGATGAACTTTCAGCATTTTTTAAAAACATGAGGATAGCTAATATGAGAATTCCAAAAGATTCCAATTAGTAATACGTGATTATAAAACGGTGTAAATATTTTTAATAAACGTTTAATGAAATATAAAAATAAATACTACATACTTTCCCAAAAAACAAGCATTCTTTAAAGTTTTGTGAGAGACTGTTTTGAAACGTCTACTTTGCGAGTTCGTCCTTAATCTTCCAAGCTCCTGATATGTAAGATGCACAGTTTAGGATTTAAAAATTTACCTATAAAACCAGACCTAACTTTCACCTAAACTTTGATTTGGAAGTTGTAGTAAATTTAATATTGTAATATAATATAAACTATAATGATGAATGAAATAACAAGTATATAACAATGGTAGCTAAAACAGTTAAAATTTTTGGAGAAATTTCTGTCTAAATTTATCCTAGTGTCTTTTTTTGTGAAAGCCGCCTGTTACAAACTAGACGTACTGCAGCCAGTTGACTTATTATATATCTCTAATTTTTTCATGATATCCATTCCATAATTATGGAACCGTGAACTGGCTTGAACGAGTTTGTGTACTGCAAAATATGATTGGCTGTTTCAGATTATTAAGAGTCTTCTTGACTGGCAAATGTCAAGTAAGGTAGCCTGTTATGATTTTGAGATGATTCTTACTTGTTTTCCATAGAATGTTTATCTGGAAGGGTACTTCTGGCCTATATCTGGGCACAACATAGTTAGAAGTTATTCCAAATGTTTTGATAAGATCTTAAATAATTTATTCTGATTACATGAAGGGCGTTTAAAAATTTATTTATTTCGGATGTAAAATCCTAATGTAAAACTTTGTAATGTTTGTCTTTCAGTGTTAAAAAGTTTCTTTGCCCTTTTTAAATTGTGCTTCACCGCTACAAAATATTACCGACTTCGTTCATATTCACATAAGCTTTGTCGAAGCTGCTTTAATTTGCTAAAGGTTCGCCTGAAGGCTCTTAATCTCTTAATTACCAAAAGGCGTTAGTTTCTTTTTCAATCATCATAGCTATCCTTATCTTTGAGGTTGTTGTACCAGAGGATTTCTCAACCAAGACATTATTTTTCGTCCTATGATGTGATTACCTTGAATCTTGACTTAAATGATCAACTGTATGATGTATTTTTAATCAGTGGTTCATTTATATACAATTTTCATTCAGTACATATGTTTACAGATCCTGACAATTTTTAGTCTTGGTAACCAGTTATCTGCAAGCTGCTCAATCCAGTAATATCTGTTCCAGTATTCTTAAATCTCTTTTAACTTAGTCCTACCATCGTATCTTGGGTTCATCTTTCTTTTGGTCTTTCCCATTCTGGAATCCACTCCGTTAATCTTCTTTGAGCCGTATTTTTTTGCTTTTATGAATATATGTCCGTACAATCTAATCCTCTATGCTTTTATTATTCATACAATATTTGCTTCCTGCCATATATTATTTATTTCAATATATTCGTGGTGTTATTTCATTTTAGCTGGTTCTTTTGAGTCCCTCCCATAATCATCCTAAAAATGATTCTTTCGAAGACCTTTAATGTTTCTGTTTCTTTAGTAGTAGGTCTTGGTCTTGCAATTTAAGCTGTGTATGTCACTGTTGGTCTGATTATTGTTTTATATATTCTTAGTTTGGTGGTTGTACTTAATTTTTTATCGCATTAATTAATATATTAATTAATATATAATTAATATGTTTTTATTTGCATATAGTGCTTTATAACCTTGTGTTTTTTGTTGTATTTGTTACCTTTCATTACTTCTTTGAAGTATTATTCCAAACTATTTAAATGTTTATACTTCTTTAAAGTTATACTGATTAATTTTGAATAAAGATATTTGAGGTTTGTTCTCTCTGCTGCAGTGCATATATTTTTCGTTTTTTCTTCTAGACCTCTAGACCTCCTTTTGATTTTTCTTCTATTTCTATTCAGGCAACATTTTATCTGCTGCACCATACGGCAGAACCAGAAACACATAACATCATACAATTCATACTTATAATGTGAGCTTAGATCTCTGCAACATAATATTTGTTTTATATTTTTTAATGCGCTTCTTGCTTTTTCGATCCTCATCCTTTTTTCCCTTGAATAGTCACTTGTCAGCTTCACACGGAGGGTGAAGGATATTTGGATATTTGGATATTTGGGATATTTGGATTTCATTTCTTTGTAATTATTATAAACTTTTCTTTGTATTTAATGACAGATCAAACACCTCTCTTTCTGTAACAAGTGATGTTTTCTGCTACCAGTATTGTGTCATCAGCATATATCGGATATTACATATAGCGCCTTCACATCTTCTGTGTATATGTTACCTTGAAACCTTGAAATTTCACTCTTAGGTTTGACTAGTTAGTCCTCAGGTATAACTTAGGGTTCTGGTCAAACCCCGAAATAAATTTTGGTTTCGATCTTTGACTAAAGAATTTTCGTCAAACCTAGAAGAGACTAATTTGGTCAGGCAAACTTCGAAACGTAATTTGATGAATTCAGTGTTAGACCAGTCAAACTTCGATCAGGTATTAAAACGTCATATTTTGTTGACGTTGATTAGGTATAATACAGTGTCATGTTATATTTAATTTAATCGGGTTTTTGGAACACTAGAAAAAACATTACGGAAAACTGAAGAATCTTTGTTACCAACTGATTACCACATTATATTTAAAAAGTTTATTTTATTTGATAAAAACCCCGATTTTATAAAATTAAGTTTCGAAGTTTGTGTTAAAACTTTAAATGGTCTGACGACTTCCCTGGTCTTTAGAACCACGCAAGGGAGATAAGAAATTGCCGTTACGATATATTTTGGAAAGTACCTTCCTTTGACAGGCTACCTAGCAACCCTCATTCGGCATATTCTGTTTCAATTCATCGAAGTAACAACATGTAAAATAGTATTATAATATTAATATATTTGTAATATTTTTTAGTTGCCTTATTACAAACAATTAAGTCTTTTTTCTATATTATAACATTCACATAGAAGTATTAAATAGTTTCATGTACGGTCTTGTGTTCTTTACTAAAACCACGGGAAGTCCAAATAATATTTAGCAACAAGTAACTGGAAGAACTCAAGATTCCCGTTTTCCACTGAACAGTTACATCAACAGTTTACCTAACTCAATTAGTCTCTCCCAGGTTTAACGAAAAGTCTTTTGTCAAATGCCGAAAATAGAATTTATTTCGGGATTTGACAAAGGACGTACGTAAGTCAGACCTGAGTATTGATTGAAAGAGAGACATCAGAGAGCCGGAGTTTAGAGGCTTGACTATAATGTATACAAAACGACGCTCTTCCTTAAGTAGGTCTCTCGTCTTTTTTAACTTAACTAAATATCAATAAAATTAATAATATTAAGAATGTATGTACTAATTTTATTTATTTTTAAAATAATTTACGTTGTAACTTACTTTAAATGACAGCCTTCTTCTACTACAATAAAATCTAATATGAATTTATGTCCTTTCTTTATCACAGCCTTAGTAAACTCTTTTTCATAATCCTTAACTTCTATATTTTTCTTGTAGTACGACTGAGGAACTTTTCCACCCTGCTTGATCTAAATTAAAAATAAAGAATTTAACAAGACAATTAAAAATATTAATAAAACTAGAATTTAATAAAATTCATATGTTATATATGTTGATAAACACGCAATGGCGATATGATTAGGTAAATCGTTGAAGAACAAGAAAAACAAAACTATATAATTTGAGACAGACTTTACATATGATATTATTTTTTATTTTCCTTTTTCTAACATACAAAATAGGCTATTAACTATGTCATCTAATAAGGTATCGAGACTTTCAAGACATTTTATTTTTTCATATAATAGGTATAATAGTGAGAAACCATAGATATATTAACAATAGACTAGGCATAGTGAACAAAATAGTGAAACGCGGACTACTCGCGATAGACTATCTATCTCTCTTTAGCAACGTTCACGCTCGCTGCCGCTATAATCTTTTCATAGATATAATAGTACGGGAGATAGCGTTGTTTTCGTAGGAATTATATACTCAATAAATTTTATTTGTAGCAGTTGAATAGTGTTTGCAAAATGGGCGTCAATCAACACACCTACGGTGGAGTTAGAGCTGATGCCATCTAAAAGACGACTAAACAATTACGACGATATAAAAAATGTCTTAATTTTGTCCTATTATTCTAACCTTTGGGGTGAGGGGGAGTCAATAGTAGTGAAAACTTAAATCGAGACTAAATTCCTCTATTGCTTAGCCGCCATCTTCAATTTATCATATCTTCGCAATTTTCAACTTTTCGACAAAAATGGTAGGTAATAAAATAGTGGCAAATGCGATTTACTAGCAATTTCTTTTATACGAATTTTTAAGGTAGAAAATAGTGACGGTGGAGGTGCGTAAAAATTATTGAATTATCTCGTTTACTATTAGGGTTCTATAATTGTTTGTGCCTCGTCAAAGACTCAAAGAAATCAAAATTGTATAAAATACTAATATAATTCCTTCCATTTTCGTTTATGCACAATTATGTGGTTAAGTTAGTAATAAAGAAGATAATTCAATAATTACTCTTAGTCATTATTTTCTCCCTTAATTCGGAAAATATCGACCGCACGTAACAATTTGCCAAGGAAAAATTGTAGAAAATCACAATTGCAACAATTTAATTCCTTTCTACAGATATTGAATAAAAACAATTTCTATAAATCCAATCTGCGCGAGCTCATGCGCTCTATTTTGTTTATGTACAAGTATTGTCGTAAAGTTAACAATAAACGAGATGGATGGTTCAACTGGACTATTAAGACAGCATATTTTATACCACTTTTAGATGCTGTCACCTATAACTCCGCCACAGGTGCGGCAACCGACTCCCATTTTACTGACTATCGAACACTCTGATATTTCGGTTCAAAATTCTGCGAAAACACAAAGCTATCTCCCGTACACCGTCTGTTCACCGGCTATTTCACGTTTCTATCGTTAGGGTCAAAGCTCATCGCGAATGTTAGTCATAGACATAGCAAGAAGATTCTTATTATGTCTATGATAGTTTGGTAGAACAGGCGCGTACGACAAACAGAAAAAGATAACTAGACCACTCAAAGTAATTATTGATGTTTCACCTCTATTGACAGAGCGACGAATATCTTGCCTAGTCTATTCTTATTATGTCCATGGATGTAACACCTTCATACCCAAGGAATGCATGACACATGGAACATGTTCATGTTCCCTCGTTTGTGTTCAATGATAAAGCACTGGCAGGACCCAGGTCTTCCTAACCTTTCGGTAGACGACCTTTGGCGAAACCACATATCCCTACGAGTCCCACACCATTATGAGGGTGGCGCGTTGTATGAAGCACGCGAGGCCTCCACCCTCCCCGTAGTACCTGTGTTGCCTTACGAACACCCGTACGTTATCCCCCGGGGCGTAAAGGTGAGCGCAGGAAGAGAAACTCGACCTAGAACGTAGACAGGTAGCCGTCGAGGAGCTCTCCTCTACCACTCTTAAATCTTCCAGGTGGGTACGTGCCGAGACACTGGCGCCCCTAATGGTGATGCGCCCAAAAGAGGTGCTTATGGGCTCAGCTCGTTCAACCTCACCTGGTTCTGTGGAATGAGAGTCGAGTGGTCCCACGAAAGTCTCGTCTCGGAGACTCCGACACCGGTCTACATCAGGAGTGTAGACCGGTGACCGTGACGCCGAAGCGCCCCGAATGCGTTTCTACAAACCCGACACCTCAAGTGATGGCTCTTTATCTCTCGATTCCTTCCCATTAGTTGCCTCTTACGAAAGGCAGGCATATATTGGCCTAGGCCGTATTCTTATCTCCGCGAGCCAAACGAAGAGAAATGCATGGCACAGAGGAAAAAAGTTACCTAAGCAATACCCCGAAAAGCTGTTAATCTCTTTGTGATTAGTCTTGGCATAGTAAACATATATGTAACGCCATTTCTGATAGTATTTCGACCCAAAATGATAAGAATAAAATGGATAAGGAGACAAAAGCAAAAAGAGATGATGACTTAAAAGAGTTATCTCTGTTTTAAATAGATCACAATATTTCTAACTGAGATCTTATAGGCGTACCTTTAACACGAGGGTATCATCATCAACATCCAGCCCTTTACGTCTACTGCTGGACATAGACCTGCCTCATTTTTGTTCATTGTGCTCTATCTTGAGCACTTTTCATCCAATTTTTTGGCATGTTCTAGATATCGTCAGTCCAACGAGTAGGGGTTTTTCCTCTACTTCTTTCCAAGCAATCTCTTCGTCCAGCTTTTATCACTGATTCGGGCGACGTGTCCGACCCACTTCCATTTCAGTGTGGCAATTCCGGAAATTACATCGGTAACTTCTGTTCTTCGTCTTAAGTCTTCATTTCTAACTCGGTCACGAAGCGATATACTCAGCATTGACCTTTCCATTTTTCTCTGAGCTATTTGCAGCGTTTTAGAACTTGAAGCTGTCAATGTCAAAGTTTCGGCACCATTGGACAAATTGGTATATTGTTTTTAAAGATGTCTTTTAATTTTCCATGGGCTGCCCATGCTAGGTTTATTCATTTTAGTAGTTCGCATGTTTGGTTGTCCCTTGTGATCTTTATTTCGTGTCCAAGATATATGTATTTTTCCACCAGCTGTACTTCGTGTCTCCAATATTAATATTTCCGCTAGGTAGTAGGTTTGTCATGAATTTTGTTTTGGAGATGTTTAATTTAAGACCCACACTGACACACACTAACTGAAGTTAATGTAGCATTGTACATATTTCCTTTAGGTTGTCTAACAACAAAACTATGTCGTCTGCGAATTTCAAATTTGTTAATCTTCTACCGTCAATGTTCAGGCCTTTCCCTTCCCAGTTAAGTTTTTTATAAGCATATTCTGGTACTGCGGTAAATAGTTTAGGCCATAAGATATCACTCTATCAGACTCATCTGCCGATTGGGATATGATACATGTTTTTATTTAGTTTTACCGACATAGATTTGTTATTCTTAGCTTTTCTTATGGCTAGTTTTATTTCGTCTATTGTGATTTCCGGTAGTAGTTCTGATCCTTGGTTAACAATGCCCTTTTTCGTTGTTAATATTTCTGTTAGGTACTTGATTTTCTCTGTTTTTTGTTTCCTCTCTGTTGGTTGTAAGATGACCTTTTCTATCTTTAATCTTTATTATTTGGATTGTCCCCGTGCTTAGTCTTTTTTTCAATATTTTGATACTTATATTGTTCTCAATGGTATGTTCGATTTGTTCTTGGTTATATGTTCGAGTGTCTTGTCTAATAGCTTTGGATATTTCTTTATTTAATTTTTGTAGTTCGCCGATAGTGTTGCCCAAAATCGGTCTTGGTCTTGCAGTCTTGGTCTTGCTCTTTCATTTTCGCAAGACCAAGACCGCCTAATTTACGCAAGAACAAGACTAAGCCTGCGAGACTCTAGCGTCTTGCAGTTAGGACTGAGTGTCGTTTTAGCGAGTATAGCAGTCCGGGTATATGCTTAAAGACTCTATGAGACGCAAAAAAAATATGTAATAAAAACTATACTTATGTGCATTACGAACAATACCATAAACATACATACCGAATCAAAATATTCATTAAAAAATACATTTGACACGTGCTCAAGGGTCATAATTACAATTTAAAAATAAAATATTTTGTACATTCTTTTCCAGCATAAGGCTTTTTCGCCCTGAAATTAATTGTCCAGATTTTGAGAATAGCCGCCCTTTAATCATAAAATAATCTTGCATTGCGACGCAGACAGTAATATCGTATCGAAGTTTTTTAAAAATATGTCACCTTAGCTAATAAAAACTATAACACTTATTGTTAGGGACACCCACTTAATAATTCAAATTTTTTCCCATTAAATTTTAGTTAGGAGGAATTTAAATAAACAAATCTTATCGGCCTAAGACTACACATTGTTTCTGCTGAGTGTGCGATGAGATCATTCGATTAAACAAAATTTGCTGAAAGGGCGCGACTAATATTCAAAAGTAACATAATGTCGCCTACCGTGTAAACAAAATACCGAAATATTTAGAATAAAGAAGTAACGATATATAATTTCTCGGTTTGTTATTAGATACTTAGGGTATTAAAAAGTAACGGACATTTATAGTAGTAGTTACATTTTCGACATCACTAAACTTCTTTGACAAGTTTACAATTTGACATGAAGGGCAAAGATTCAACTAGTTTTAGTCGGAGTAGGGAGCGTTGGAATTATAGATCTAAAAGACCTAACAGCAAATTTGATCAGTTTTTCGAAATAATTCATGCATCCAAATTACTTTGTGTAAATTGTGCCTACATAGAAAGGTTAAAATGAAAATGAAAAACAGGAACACGTCAGGTTTAAGGAAGCATCTAATATCTTTTCACAAAAGGGAATTACAAATATTTCTTCCTGAAAAAAGAAAATTATGGTTCCTAAAAAATGTACCTACTACTTTATTTTGGTATATTAATATATTTATTAAGTAGATATCTCCTTAATTTAAAATAACTTATTTTGATTATCATTGCTTTTTTACCTATTCTTTATTTAGTTTTTTATATAAAAGTAGAGTTAAAATTGTTAATAACATTTATGTTGCTTTAGATTTCCAGATTTCCATTTCATATATGGTGGGGGTCCATCAATCCCTTTCTAGACAGATAATGTTCTTTAAAATATAAATAAATTATGTTTTTTTTTTGTGTTTTAACCATGTTTGATTGACTTCGGTGGGAGATGGTAGATAGTTAGAGCATAGGCACGGATCGCTTAGATCGTGGTTTCAAACCCCCCTAGTAACATTTAATAAATAGCAATAGGCTAATGGGTAACTGCAAGACTTTCAAGACTCTTGCTGCAAGACCAAGACCAAGACCAAGACCGAGAGTGCAATACCAATACCAAAACCAAGACCAAGAATTAGTGTATAGGCGCAAAACCAAGACTGTTTAAGTCTCGTCTTGTACTTGCATTTGGGCAACACTATTCGTCGGCTTTAGTTTCCGTCTCGTTTCTCATTTCTCTTCCTTTCTGCATTAGTTTCCTAGTATTTTGGCTAATCTTCTCTTCTTTTGGAGTTCTAGGATAGAATTTGTATTGACTTTCCAGTAAAGCATTTATTAATTTATTATTTAAGTCATTTATATTATTTTCTGTTTCAGGACTACTAAGTATGTCGGAAATACATTGCTGAAAACTATCTCCATCTGATGGTTTTATCCATGGATTTGATTTGTTCTTCTTTTTAATCATCTTATACCTCTCCTTCTTTAAGCTTATTTTTATTTTACTTCGTACCATTCTATGATCACTACTGGTAACAAATCTGTTTAGAACCATGATGTCTTTAACGGTGTGTTTTTTGTTCGTGATAATAAAATGTATTTCATTTTGAGTTTTTCCATTAGGACTTTGTCATGTCCATATTCTCTGTGGTTTCTTTTTGAAAAAACTGTTCATTTGGAATAGTTCATGTTGCAGCATGAACCTTAACAGTATTTCGCCACGTTCATTTCTCCCATCCAAGCCAAAGTTTCCCAGTAGTGTTTCTATAGGGTTGGATTTCATTCCTGTTTTGGCGTTAAAATCAACACATATAAAAGTAAAATGTCCTTGACAGTTTTTAAGAGCGGCTTCGATATCATCATAGAATAAATCCACGTCTTATTCATCATGATCTGTTGTTGGTGCATAAACCTGTATTATTTTCATATTATACCGTATATAATATGTATAATCACTCTTGTGGAAAATTTCTTTAGTGATACTCTACTTGTTTGGAGATGCTTGTGTATAATGAAGCCGCTTCCTCAGAAGGAATTATTGTTGTTACCTACGTGGTAAAAACTATGTCCTGATTTTAGTTTAATGAAGTGTTCGCCACGTCTTCTGACTTCGCTGAGACCGACTATGTCCCTTATGTTTTCTAGTTCGCACTCAAGTTCAGTATGTCTTTCATCATATAGTAGGGAACGTGCGTTATATGTTCCTATATAAAGTGTCGTCCTATTCGGGTAACTTTTTCCTGTATGTCAATTTTTTGCCCCCCCCCCCATCCATGGGACAGACTGATAATTTATCAGTTGCAAGATTCTTGGAAATATTTTTCTACTTGCCTATTTGCGTATGTTCAACTGACATTTTCGTGAGGGGTATTTAGCCTCACCACGCTGGCTAGACGTGTTGGTGAGTGTTTGTTTCAGCCGCCCATTCTAGGTCCGACGCTGTTTGAGGCCGCCCACTCTGGATCACACGCCGCGGGTTGTGATTTTATACTATCCCTAATACGAGGGTATATCAGCGCCTAATAAAATATTTTCAGATATTCGCGAAGAACTTATATATAACTGATTTGCTGAAGTCCCAACAGTTTGTGTCGGATATCAGAGAAAAAAAAACCAATATTACTTACCACTGTTGTGTATCTTGGATTTCCATCTGGATCCTTAAGATTTCCACCAAAATGGGCTGGTAAATTATCTGGAGCAATATTTTCTAATAAAACAGGTTGCCATTTTCTGGGATCGTTCTTGAAAATTTGTATTTTGCTGAGCGTGTAACCATTCATAAACCTTTTGACTACGTTAAAAGCTACAGAAAACACTCTGGGGGCTAAAATAATCAACAACACTAATTAATATTAATAACTATAAGAAATTTTTGGTTGCTTCACAAAATTTGTATGTCAAAAATGCAGTCACGTAAGACTAGACAATAATTGTTGGAGGCATTTGTTGAGTATGTAAGTCAAAACATTGTACTCTGTGTATAAGAGGGTTACGCCGCAATAATTGCAGTTATGATCTACAATCCTGGTTTTAATCGATCAATCTAATCAATTCATCTGATATATTTAAAAATGTGGTTATACACGAAAAGAGAGATACGTAGAGGCGAAGAAGTTTTGAAGATTATAAACTCAATTACGTGATTTCAAGAGTTACTCCTGTGACAGGATCCCAGACAGTATTTCCGGATTGAAAATCGAAGTTTCGAAGCATATTATCATCATATCATGATAAAAGTGACCATGACAAAGATGCTATCAGCAATAAAAATTCAAAACGACTCGTCAACCCCATTTGAAATACATAGGCAAGGAGATGCGCTGGCGTGTCAGCTTTTGAATGTCGCCTTAGAAAAAGTTGTACGAGACGCTAATTTAGGTAACAGGGGAACAATATTTAATAGATCAGTCTAAATTCTAGCATATGCAGACGAGGACATTATAACAAGAACCAGGGCGAGAACTGCGGAAATCCTAACTGAGCTACCGAGCTAGTAGCAGCAGCAGAACGAATGGGGTTACATATACATCAAAATAAAACCAAATTCATGGCGACTAACACAAACAGAAGAGCTGGAAATGTTGACGCAGATTTATTCATCAATGACCAAAACTTCGAAGCAGTCAAAGAGTTCATATATCTAGGGACATCGGTTAACCTCAATAATAACAGATCTGAAGAAATAAAAAGGCGAATAATAATTGCAAACAGGTGTTATCATGGTCTATCAAAGTACTTAGCTACAAACGTCTGTCTCAAAAAACTCATATAAGGCTGTATAGAACACCGATAGTCCCCATTCTCACATATGGATCAGAGGCATGGACGCTGACTAAAACAGATGAATCCGCTCTATCGATTTTCCGCTCTGAATCTAAGATGATAAAAAAGATTTTAACAGCGCAACCCGTGGGAATGAGAAGACGGGGTACGTCAAAGCTTAGAGGCCCTCTAAGGGCTGTAGCACCAAGATGATGATCATCGTCATACTGGATTTACAACACTGTGTAGGTCCTAGCCTCAGAATTTCTCTCCAGTCGTCCCTATCCATGGCGTTTCTTCACCAAACACGTATTCCCATATTTCTCATATCTTCATCGATGTTATTAAGAAACCTTTGTTTCAAATCTGTCTTTTCTTCTGTACGTCGAAGCATATACAGGGTGTCCAGAAATTCTGGCAAACGAAAATCGAAGATTCCTCAGATAATTTTAAGACGGTTAGACCCAATTCACCTTGTCCGAAAATGCGTCCTAAGAGAGCTAGCGCTCTTTGAAGATAGCACCTTGTAAGTAGTTTTTTTAGTAACTTCAGAACGCTTCTATTTAGAAAATTAAAACTGGTACGATTATTTATCCTCGAGAGTTAAATCGAATCCATTAATTGCAAATTTCAATAGTTATTTTAACCCATAACTTTTTTGTCTATATATTTAAAGCATTTGTGATATTAGATTAATAAATTTTCGGATATTCTAGTACTAAAAGGTACTCTGTCTGTACTTAAGTCTGTAGGATACACCGTTTTCTAGAACAATCGATTTGAAAATTTTTTAAGGAAAAAAATCTCAAAAAAGGAAAAGGAAAAAATATAAGCAGTGCTTGCACCTTTGTAAAATGAGAGGATATAAATTTTCGTTGTATAAGATATTTCTTGCGGAAGATTTTCTACTAAGGACTATGGGATACATGACAGATAGTCTTCGAATGCATATTTGTAAATTTTTCCTCAAATTCCATTAAAGTAACATTTAGATGTGCTGTTACATCATTATGTTGCTCTCTTTCATTATTTTTTGGGATCACTGAACTTGTTTCTCTTAATCGGGAAATTTTTTAGCGTATCTACTTTACTGCTTGAGCGTTACACCTCATTTTGCACTAAATGTACATCAGGGTATTTCTCATTAGTAAAGACCATTTTTGTTGAATTGAAATTATTGTACACAATGACGGTATTAGATTTTGAGTCGATACAGAACAGCGACAAGCCGCATATACGTATTTCGACCTCTTTAGGTCTCCTCAGTACGGTATAGCCACTACTCCGTAATGGCTATACTACTCCGTAATGGCTATACCGTACTGAGGAGACCTAAAGAGGTCGAAATACGTATATGCGGCTTGTTGCTGCTCTATATCGAATCAAAATCTAATACCGTCATTGTGTTTTATTTCTTTACTTCGTTTGGAGTACCAGAAATCGAATTCACTACGATGATTGGCCATGATGAACGGCATTTGGAATGCAATTTTAGATTCCTTTGCCGATTTATTCAATTTATTCATCAAGCTGTTTGCTTCGCAAGTTTTAGGAAGCACGGTGGCTGATATTTGAATTCGATTTCGCCAGGTAGAAATCGTATGATTTCTCTTTTTGAAATTATTGTGTTTGAATGCAACAAAGTAAAAACTTAAAGAGAAACTTAACGAACTGACAAGAATTTAACAATCAAAAACTTAGGTTATAGTTCTGATAATAGTTCACAGCCTACTAGTGCAAAAAATATTAATTTACCTTTCATGACGAAAATACGAAAAATTTTCAAATCGATTTTTCTCGATTTTTAGCACTAGAATATCGTAAAATCTAATGATTTAGTATCACGAATTCTTAAAAGTTAGAGACAAGAAAATTATGCGTTAAAATAGCAACGTTATGCGTTGGGTAGGTCAATATTGACCACAATATTGACCTACCCAAAACGGTCGCCTATCAACCATACTAGGAATTCGCAATTAATGGATTCGGTTCAATTCTGGAGGCTAAATAATCGTACTAGTTTTCATTTTTCTAAATAGAAGCGTTCTGGAGGTAATAAAAAAAAACACTTTCAAGGCGCCATCTTTAAAAAACTCTAGCTCCTTTAGGAAGCATTTTTGGAGTAAGTGAATTGGGTTAAATCGTCTTAAAATTGTCTGTGGAATCTCCGGTCTTCATTTATCAGGAGAGTTTATGCACACCCTTTATATAAAATGAAATTTTCATTAATTTTCAATTGTGATTTAATTCCATGTAAAAAAGCGTATATATATATATATATATATATATATATATATATATATATATATATATATATATATATATCGGTTTTAAAACGTTCTCCTACGTCTTCCGATGCCTAGTCGCCATTCACTTCGGTCCATCCAAAGGTCTTCATCTAATTCTCTTTCTCTCATACTTCGATTTATGCCTTCTCTCCAACTAAGGCGGGGTCTTCCCCTTTTTCGTCTACCATGAGGGGTCCACGTTAGGATTTGTTTCGGGAGTCGTTCTTCGGATATTCTTTGTACGTGTCCATACCATCTAAGCTGTTTGGTGCTAATGTCATCTACTATTGTGTGTTTCACATTCATTATTTCCCTAATTCTGTTGTTGGTTACCTTTCTAATCTTGATTTTCCTGCTGAGCGCCTCCAGAAATCCATTTCTGTTGCTTCAAGTTTTCTCTTGTATCTTTCTTTTATTTGCCATACTTCACTGCTGTAAGTGATTATACTCTTAACAATTGTATTGTATATTCTATGTTTGTTGTTGTTTGATATTGCCTGGTCCCACAGTATACTATTGAGAAGGGTAATTGCTTTTCTTCCCTGGTTGTTTCTTTCTTCTATCGTCCGGTCTACGTTTCCTTCTTGTGTGATGGTCATACCCAGGTATTTATATGCGTCGCAATGTTTAATAATTTCGCCATTCCCCAGTGTAAGGTCCTGCTGTGTCCCACCGATACACATATATTCGGTCTTTTTTATGTTTATTTCCAAACCACCTTTTTTGTACTCCTCTATTAATTTCCTTGTCATATATTCTATAACATCGTAGTCTTGCGCTAGTACAAGTTGGTCGTCTGCAAATGACAAAGTGTATATTGTATTGTTGTTGTTCGGTAATCTCATGTTTTTGCATTTGCGTTTCCAAAGTTTTAGAGTTTGCTCGAGGTAGATCTTAAATAATGTCGGTGAAAGGCAGCACCCTTGTTTTAGGCCTTTGCTAATTTGGAATCCTCTCGATAGCTCGCTTCCAACTTTCACCCTTGCTGCAGTTTTGGTATACAATTGATTCGTCGCTGTTATTAAATTTGCGCTTATATTGGTTTTCTCTAATGCTTCCCATAGTTTGTTTTGTGGGATGCTATCATACGCTTTTCTCAAGTCCACATATAACAGATGCACCTCCTGGTTGACGGCCAGTTTCTTCTCAATAATCTGTGTAATACAAAACAGATGGTCTACCGTTGAAAAGCGTTTTAATGGGCATACATATTAATAATTTAAATATTTAACAAAATTATTATTAAGGCTACAATTATTGTATAAAAAATTATTACCGTTTATGATGTAGCATTGTTTTAAGATCTCTGGGTAGTTTGCTTCATATAACTGTATGAGGGATATAGCAAATTCGGCAGCTGAAAAAAAATATAAATATATCAAATTTTCAATGTATAATAGCACTAAAACTATAGATCAAGTTCACAGAATAACAAATATAATAGGAAAAACATTAGAAGAAAAGAAAGTCTGCTCTATAATCTTCTTGGACGTAGCACAGGCGTTTGATAAAGTCATACATTGCGAATAGATATTTCAGAGTAAAAAAAGAAGTGTTTACCGATTTAACCCTAGAGTACTAACGTACGTAAATATTACGTACCGATTTTATTCTGACAGCTACTGAAAGAAAACTAAACGTGGCAATGCTTAGCCGCGTAAGCTATGTTATCCTCACTTCATGGTCAATAACATGGTACAATGAATACAATATGTTCATTGTAACTTGTAACATGGTCAATAAAACAAATTAATACTCGCCTCGCTTCGCTTGGATTTTAGTTTGGGTTAGGATTTAACCGTAGTAGTTACAATGCTCTGTACGTAGAAGATACATGTGGTTAGTATCCGAGTAAAAAGTTTTGTGCTGTTATTATTAACGTATAAATAGGATGTCTGCAAAATCAATTGTTAATCTAAAGCGTCCTCTTACTGAGAAATAGTTGGAGGAAATTATAAATAAAAGCGACTTCAGTGATTTAAGTGATACAGAAGATGATCTAGAGCAGTTAGAAAATCCATTTGACAGCAACGATAGTATTGAAGATAAAAACTATGATCCTAGACAGGACGAAGAAAATATCTTCACAAAACTAGCTAACACCTGGGCTAAAACTCACAAAAAAACAAGAAATACATTATCTCGTAAAAGAATTAAAATTACGCAGCAGCCGTCATCAGAATCAACATATACTGATAACCGTATTGTACAAAAATCGTCTATCATATGGAATAAACAGTCTTTAGTAAGTAGAAACGGTAATAAGTGGAGTAATTTACCAATAAAAGATTGAGGTTGTAAAGTCGCGTCCAGAACTATAGAACCTATGATGTTTTTAATTTATTTTTTACAGATCAGATTCTTGACGAAGTTTTGCTACGTACAAACGAAAAAATTGCAGAATTGCGAGGAAAGTACCAGACAAAAAAGCTACTGGTTTAGAAACGACATTGCCTGAACTGAAAGCACTATTAGGTTTGTTATTTTTATCTGAGGCTTTAAAAAATAATCACCACTTAGCTGACGTTTTGTTTGATAGCACTTATTGTGGCCATAGACATAAAGCAACGATGAGTAAAGAAAGGTTTAACTTTTTGATCAATTCTTTACGATTTGATAACTCCTTAACAAGAGAAGAACGTAAAAAAGGAAGTAGTTTTGCTCCAATATCTAAAATTTGAAACTTGTTTATTGAAAACTGTGTCAAAAATTATAAAGCCAGTTCATATGTGACAATCTACGAACAGCTCCTAGGATTTCGTGACTGGTGTCCATTTCGCATGTATATGCCAAAAAATCTAGTAAATACGGCATAAAAATACTTATGGTTTGCGATGTACATGACATTTTGTCACAAGCCTGAGACTTTTACATGGAAGTAGACGTATTGTGACAATGGACAACAGGTTTTCTAGCATCCCTCTTTCAAATAAATTATTATCTTCCTCTTACAAGTTGGCAATGGTCGGAATATTCCGGAAAATTAAAGGAGAAATACCTCCTGAATTGCTCGGTAACAAAACTTGGAAGTGAGGTTCAAGTATTTTTGTGTACGATAAAAACATGACTTTATTATCTTATAAACCCAAGCAAAATAAGATAGTTCTTTTACTTTCAACTATGCATTTTTCTTTAACTTCGTGGATGATACAGCCATTCTAGCAATAGAAGACACTAGTAAAGAATCGACTGATAAGTTGCAGCTATCAGTAAATACAATACATACCTGGACCAGAAAATGACAAATAAAATCAAATGAGACTAAATCTGCACACATTAACTTTATAAATAAAAAAATATAAAATTTCCCAGTTAGAATAAATGATACCCAAGTTCATTATGCAACATCAGCAAAATACTTCGGCATCACCCTAGACGCGAGGTTGCCCTGGAAATTCCATGTCTAAAAGAAAAGAGGATAGCTTGATATTATTAGATAGATATAAGAAATTGTCATTAATCACAAACACGGAAAAAGAGAAACAATGTAATAACGAATAAAAACATAAAATCAAACATAAACAAATAACATTTGTAGACATCCTTTTCATTAATATTTATATTACCTGGTCTAGAAGCATACTGTTTTATATCGAAATCTTCCATATCAAAAATAACCACTAGTTGATGTTCCCCTGTCTCCGCTGCCATCTTTAGGTTAGTCTCCAAAATTTTAGCTTCGTTTTTTATTAGCTCCAATTTTGATACCGAACTTAACATCCCTATGGGGTCAAATCCTTTAAATGGAACGATGAGAACTGAAAAACATTCGGTTTTATTACAAAAGACCTGAACCTTCCAAAAAAATAGTAAAATATTTTCAATTAACAATTTCACGACTAACTTTGTCATCTACTGTCATATTCCTGCGAACTTGCATGAAATTTTCACAATAATGGAAAAAATGGCACAATTCTTGATAAAAATAACAAAAACGTACATAAAACGAAATTAATAATCAACTTACTTGGAGCCCCATCTTTGTCCAATCCACATGTGCCACTGGGATGAAACGACTTAATTGGCTCTGGAGGATCCCATGCAATTAAATGGGAATCGATTTCCCACTGTTTTTTGAACATTACCGACTAAAAACAATAAAAAGTTATTAAAAATCAGCGCAGTAAAAGATTTAAAATTAAATATAGGTAAATATAACTGACTCTTCCTTGTTTAACTACATATCGTGAACCTAGATCAAAAGTAGTGCCAAAATTCCAAAAATAACTACAATTGCGTTAAACTAACAAGTACAACGTCAAATTTTAGCTAATCAAAAATGTATCTTGCAATTTCAAATTATTTTTAATTTTTTTCACATTGTAAAGATTACATGTGTTTATGTTTTTTTTTTGGAAGCTTTTTTTAATTTTGTAACTACAAGGAAACTAAAATATGCCACTAATCTAACTAAAATAAGCACTTTTACTGTAATTAGGTGCATTAAAGTGTTGTTATCATAATTAAAATTAGTTTTTATAAAAATATTATATTTTGGTAAATATTAGTAATAGGAGTAAAAATTGTATTTACCTCTCGAAACATTTTCTCTGCAGCCGCTGGATTCCAGTTTCTTGCTAGAATAATAAAACAAATTTAAACAATTCTAATAGTAATAATACTGTTTCTGTTACACATACAATATGTAAATACTGAATACACAATAATTTAGTAAGTTTAAGTATTAAAACAACTTCTACTTTACGTCCATCTCCGCGACGGAGGTTGACAATTGTCATGACTATTCTGCCATTGGTATCCGTACTGCCATCCGGATTTCGAATCCGTACCATTCCATCCGTCCCATATCCATTTTATGTCACCGAAATTAGATTACAGTACGTAGCTAGCTTTGCTAGCTAGCTAACTTTGCTTTGTCCTTGTCCAACTACCCATTTATAACACACATCAGTTTATAATCGGTCGAAAAATTTCCCCTAAGGTCTTCTTTGAGTTTTGAGAAATTTTCGAAGCCAAATCTTGAGAATATGGGGGTGTTTCTTAATTTCCAAACCTGCGACATGAATGGAGCCCACTGCAACCAAGGACTTGTGTTTCCTTAAACATTTTTGTTGTCTTCTTCTTCTGCGTCAACTACTATCTCCGCGACGGAGGTCGGCAATCATCAAAGGAATTCGAACTTTAGAGACGGCTGATCTGAAAAGATCATTTGGTATACATCTGTAGCATTCTCTCAGGTTGCGCAGCCATGCTATTCCCCTTATTGTCTTTTCTTGAATCTTTTGTTCCATAATCAGTTGAAATAAAGTGCAAATTTCTTCACGTGTAATTTGTCCGTATTATTTAAATTTTATTGTTTTGGTTGTATTTAAAATTTCTATTTCTTTACTTATCCTTTTCAGAACCCTTAGTTTGTGACGTGTTCTCACATATTTTCAGAATTCTTCTATACACCCATAAATGATTTCAGTTTTTCGATTGAGGTCGTATGTTTAAACTTTTATTTCATAAAACAAAGTCGAGAAAACGTTATATCTCATGTGCAGAGCAGTTTTCCTGTGCCTTTCCTATTCTGATTGTAATTTCCTGAAATTGATCATTTATAGATTAATTGTTGAGCGTAGTAAGTGCAGGTTATAGTGGTTTATTTTTCTAAATAATTAGTCTACAATGAATTTTGTGCATCCCAAAATACTGAGACCATAATCTTATGGGCTGCCACCAAAGCTGCGAACTTGCAAGATGGTGGTGAGCAGCACCCATGCTTCTACTGATTAATTTGAATGATTGGTTTACTGTCACAAGTTCTTCTTATCCTTGAGAAAAGTGTCAAAGCCGTTGATAAATGCCGGATCAGCCAAAAGCATTCGGAAAACCATTTTACCAATAATTAGTTTTTTCGTGGGTAAAACATTAGATATAATATTTTAAAGTACATGAAATGAAAAGCCTGTTTCCACAATTTCACAGAGGCCTTTCAATTACACTTCGATACACATAAAATATTGAAAACTATTTAAATTACTCTTACCTCTTAACCACCGAAGTAGATAATGGTCATCATGCTGAGGTTGCAAAATGTCATGCAAGCTCCTTCTAAACTGTAACAAATAATATTGATTTAATAACAAATACTTACATTAAAATTAAGATATCTTTTTGCGGCAATATTTTTATATTGAATACTTTTCTTTATGCTAAACCGTCACATATCGAAGTTCTTTGTCTGATGTCTAACTTTCAGCGGTTTCTATTATTTTATTAGCCCTTTCGTTGGTCTTCTTAGTGTTCTAGGATCTAGTGGTATTCACTGCACGGTTATTTTGGACGATCTGTTTTCAGAAGCCAGTTTAGCATCATCTGACATAGAAAACAAGTCACCTAGGAAGCTAATCAACTTTATCACAAGTATTGGCATCCTGGAGTTCAACTAGATAAGTTGACGGTGTCAACGATGTGCGGTGAGGCTGCCAGACCTTAACGACCTCATATAATCTAATCTAATGCACCATATGTTCTTATTTCTTCTTCTAGCATATATACATTTCTCTTTAAAATCAATTTCTATTTCATTGCATTTTTGCTTCCTTTAATTTAACTTTGGTGCCAAATACATTTTACTCAGTGTCGGTGATATACAAAACTCTTAGCGCAGACCTTTGTTTACAGATAATTTCTATGATCTATTGTTACCAATTTTGATTCTTAAAGTAGACTTACTATGAACGTTTTTAAGGGATTTTTATGAGTAATTTTGGTTTCTTGTATTGTCTTCCAGAGCATTTTTACAGAAGCTGTATCACACATAGACTAATAAATATAATTTGCCACATTGAGTTGATCATCTCATTGCTGATGTTAATTATTTCACCCTTAATTGATTCAATTTTTCCTTTATTTTGGGTTGATGAAATATTAATCTCTGTCTTCTATAAGGAATTGGTCATAGTGATCAATCAGTTTTGTGCACAATTATTTTTGTAGGATCTGATTTTTTTTACGAATTTTCGTGATTTCGAACATTTTCTACCGAAGTGCTTATTAATTATTCTCATATACAACTGATAAAAACGATATGATCGTTGCATGATAAGTGAAAATTTTATTACGTATTTGAATTACCTATGTTTGATTATACATTATATAAAAGTAAAAAGTCTATAGATGCGTGTGATTAATGCGATGAAAGTGTAGCCATAATATATTTTAATTGATTTATATTATATAACAATACTCTAGATTCCGTATATATACAAAATAAAAAAACGAGGTAGTTAATGCGTTGTCGATGTTTTTAGATTGAAGTATTAATTTTAACCTAAACAACGAAAATTCTTGTAGCGAAAGAAGATTACATACATCATTACTATAGAGCGTTCCACGTTAAGAAAATAACATTGCGGAGATAGGGCCATGTATTTCTTATGGGCTATGCCACGACAAACACAAGCACGATTCAGGGTTGTATAATTTGTATTTTCGTTTCCATAGACATAAATTAAATTAATGTTTTTTAACGTAATTGACCAGAAGTGCCCATTCGAAACAAGAGATAAAAAGTAGGGAAAATGGTTTTAATTAAATAAATATTATTTACAAAAGATCATTTCATTTTATCTTATTTTAATTATAGTAACGACAGTTTATTTGTTTTTCAGTGAGAATACCATATGCCATGAATCATAGAAATCAGTAGAAAATATTGCTTAGTTAAATCATGCATTTTGCTGGCTATTAAAGATTTAATGTGTGCGCATGTTAGTGATTTTATGTCGTTCTCTGATCATAATGATAATAAGGCTTTGTGGTTGTTTAGTAGTTATTCTGACTTTACAGTTAAATGTTAATTGAAAATGGAAATTCAAAAATTAATCCAAGGGAATATCTTGGACATCCGTGCAAAAGAGAGTGCCTGAGAGTTTTGACAACACTGATCTCCATAAGCGTAATGTTATTTTCTTAACTTGAAACAAAGTATAGGCATAAACTGATACCCGCAGCGGATTTTGGATCCGCTGTTGTAAATCGAAATGAAATATAAAAAAAATTAAATTATAGATTTAAAGTATTCATACAAGAAACAAAACAAAAATTGACTTGACAGAAAATACGATGAAACGTTTGTAAGACAAATTAACCCATCGTTTAAAAAATTAAATTTCTGTAAGCTAAAAATTGGAAATTTTCAACATAACTAGTATGATTTTATTTTCGAATTTTTTATATTAGTTTAACATTTTCAAAATGTACAAGTTGGGCACTATAAGATGTCCTCATTTGAGGACATCGTTAGCCAATGAAGTAAAAATATTAGATAATTTGTTTTAAATACTGATAAATAAAAAACTGAAGTATTTTATTCAATAAGTTGTTGTATTTGTATTGATTGTATGATATCTTACAAAACAATTTTTTTCTTATACAAAGGAACATTACATTTGTCGCATATCATTCGTGATTTGCCCAAACAGACAGGCAATTTACATCTGAAGCATTACGTTTATCATCATGAATGGACAATGATAAAATCCATCTAGTCGTATTTCTTTAACAGGGCGCGTTTTAACCACTGTATACTTGTAGCTCTTCTGAGTTGATGGTCCCAGCTGTCGTTCCGGAACCGTAGGCGGACGGCATCATTTTCTTGTACGCGGTTTCATGCTTTTTAACAGAACTTGATAGTTATTTTGAACGTATTATTTAATCAACGGAATTTACAATAAAACACAAAACTTAGAAACATTGCTTTATGTAAACACAAGTCACTAGAAACACGGGAAAAAAGCGAAATATATGACAACAATTTTTTTTTCTGTTCTTCATTTGTCTAGCTTTTATTATTTTCTCCTCATTTTGTCTACGTTTTTGTTGTTTTTGTTGTAAGGTAAGCCTCTATAGAACGATCTAGAACTTTCAGATGTGCAAAACTGACTCAAGTGGACCAGATCGTTAAATATTTCCTTAGAAATTTTCCTTAGCTCTAAAAAAACATCTCTATGAAAAAAGGGAAAAGGAAAGGAATTTTTAAAACAAACTCACCTGTATATAATTTTGATGGCAAAATAAACTGGCTCTCGGGTAGTTGCACCTCATCGGAATTTGTAAATGGTTTGCGTATAATTGACGTCTCCCATTGTCCATTATAGGAATCTCGGTGTTTGAAAAGGCGTGGATAATCTTTCAATATTTCGAGTTCTCTGATTGGTCTTGATTTATATGTTGCTTTAGTTACGTAAATTTGGTCCAAGAATAGTAACCAGTTTCTTATAAGTATTTGATCGACCTCTACGATATCGAACGGATTTGGTTTTACTCGACATGATCTAATTTCCGTGTACCAATCCTCAAGAAGTTCAGCCATAATGTTTTGATTTATCACACCCATATCTAGATCGCACTCCATTTAAGAATGGCCTCGTTTTGGAAAGGTTACTATGATTAAGTCCAACCTTTTTGCAGTCCAACCTTCACTACATAGTGAAGATAACGGAAAACAGTGAAGTTTTTATTTTGGCCGCCACATGAATCACAGAATATGTGTAGGTGACGAACTGATAGATCAAGCTGAATAAAGATAAAATGATGCAGAAATGACACTACTTCGTTTGAACCTTTGCCTTTTATGGTTTCTGGAAAACAATAAAATGTAGCATTTGCTGTTGACAATACATGAATGTTAAAGGAGTGAAGCGTCAGTTGTCTCTTATAGTAGACGTCGTTGGTCGGAATATTTGGAGTGGATAATTTTTTTTCAAAATCCGTAGCGACTGCTTCACAGTTAACATTGTTTATTGCTGCTTTCCTTGCCTTTCTTTTTATTTCATAAAATGCTTCCGCTTTGAATTTGTGTAGGCTATTTGCCAAAGTTATTCGTTTTATCTCAACTTCTATATTTTGTTTTTCAGAGCCATCATTTGTTTCATTCAGTTTGTTGTGAAGGACCTTAAAGCTTGTCGCTCACTTAAGCGCGGAGAAGCAGAGAGAAGCGAAGCACGGCGCGACGAAGTTTACAAATGAGCGCTAATATGTGCACGGTTTTTCGCTTATATACGAGGAGGTACACTACGTTGTTGTTCGGTTCGGAATCGAACGCAGTTGTATTTTGGCGTTGTAGTAGGTTGTAGTTGTTAGTAGGTGTGTAGACACGTTGGAGCAATAGTGACTTTTTGTCTGTTTGTTACTTTGCAAACGTAGGCAATCTAACCACAAAAAGTATCACTTTTACTCCACTCATAAAACATTGTACTATTTTCCTTTATAGACATAAACGTGGAATATTACAAACATGCAAATAACTAAATATGTAATTTTTAAAATTAAAGACATGGTAAAACTGTAATTTTCAAACCTTTCTGTTGACATCTTTCACCTATTTCTTTACAACCTATTATTTTACAATTAACTGTACATTAGCGATGTTAGCACATATTAGTGAATGTTGGTAGATTTTTTCAGTACGAGACACGTCAAAAGTAGTCGATGACAAATGAAATTCGGAAAACTTTCCGCATGACTTCCGTAGACCTCCGCTCACTAGTGCAATTCGAAGCGCGCCGAACAGAATTTCTTTTAGACGAGTCAAATTAGTAGAAAATAAGCGTTTTTTCGTCACAAGTGTATAGACGGGTTTGACAGTTGAAATGGATAGTATGAGATATTACAAAAAGACTCTCATCTAGGGATTCATGAATTTTTTAGTGGAACTATTTTTAAATAAACAATTAAGACGTCAATATCATTATTTTGCTCATAACTTATAAACTTGTCTATTTAGAGATTTGACGTCCACAGACGAGTTGTTGAGAAAGAAAAAATACACAAAATGAGATATACTAAATTAAAATCGGCTAATAAACAAAAAAGTTATTGCATAATAACCAAGCAAAACGGCTGTTTTTGATTATTGTTAATAACTCTTTTAGTAATCAATAAAATTTATTTAAATGTATCTGCACTTAAAGATCTCATCGTGTTCGAAGTGTGTGCGAAAGATAGGCTAGATCCGTCAAATAGTTTTTGCACAATTTAATTTGTTTATAAGATTTTTTGAAAAATGCACAAATTTCTAAGGCCGGTCCAGATAATTTGACTGAATGGATCT